CACACATAAAAAAAAAAATTAAAAAAAAAAAAAATAAACATACCGTCGAATTGAATACCTCCTTCTTTTGGGAAGTCGGTCAAAAAGTAATAAAAAACCTGGCTGAATGTAAATGAAATAAATTTTTGAAAAAAAAAATGATTATTTTTTTCCTGTATTTGTTGTAACTTACCTTTCCTAAGGTAGGAGTATATTTTGTTATTTTAAATGTAACAAATGAATAATAGTAGAATTCGAGGTCATTAAAATGACGAAACAGTCGTATATATATTTATTTGTTGCTATAAAAAACGCTGGTTATATTCTGTTTCGGAAACCTGTTCAAGAGACGGGATTGAAGTGGACATGTTATATAACTTACTTATAAAGATCTTAAACATAGTTGTGATAATTTGAGATAGCTGTTTCTCGCGACTTTGTCCAAGTGTAATTTAAAAAAAATAGTCTATGTTAACGTAGCTTTTTAATTGTGAAAGGTTTTTTAACATCCGCCCAGTAGTTTTTACGTGAATCGAATATATACTAAAATCCAAAAATACAAATCTTTCCTGTTTAATTTATAAGTATAGATTTATATAGATACTAGCTGTTGCCCGCGAATTCACTACATGGTATTAGAAAAAAGCTACGTATCCCTCGGTAACCGGACATTTTTCGGGGATGAACCTTATCCCATGTGTACTCCAGGCTATGTTTTATATCTGTGCGAAATTTCAATAAGATATGTTGAAACGTTACAGAATAATCGAGTAAACATTAAAAAAGTAAATTAGTGAATCCCACGAGAGCCGTTACTATTCCCGGGATAAAAAGTAGCCTATGTGTTTTTCCAGACTATACTCTAAATTTGTGCCAAATTTCATGGAGATCCGTTCAGCCGTTTATGCTACAAACGCTAACAAACATCCATCCATCAATCGTAACTTTCGCATTTATAATATTTATATGAATATGATATAAGATATAGACATAAATATACGAGAAAATGAACAACTTTTTCACAAGTACTTTCTTTGAAGTAATATATACAATACAAGTACTATATTCACCTCTTGTCCTTATATTGACATTAAATATTTTACAAAATTTAAATCCCATCTTTTGTTATAAATTAAACTTTAAATATTATTTAACTCTTTGGTTTTATCTTAAAAAGATGTATATTTGTGTTCCAGATGACGGGAGAGAGTTTGGAGGAGTTAGCAGTGCGGCTGTTCGACGCGGGCGCGGTGCGGTTAGGAGACATCGAAGCTAAACTCGGCCGACGAACGCCTATTTACTTTGATCTTAGAGTCGTTGTATCCCATCCCAAGCTTATGGTATGTTACACCGAAGGACGTCGATAGGGAGTCGGCAGAAGCAAGCATGCAACTATATTAAGTCAATATTGTTTATAAATAAGTCAGATTTTATCTACAACTAAAAAAAATCAAATAGCCTATGTGATCTTCCAGATGTTCCAAATTTCATCGAAATCCGTTCAGCCGTTCTAACCTTGTTACAAACATCCTACCATCTAAATTTTTCTTTTAGTAAGATTTGTTAAAACAAACTAACAAAAAGGTCAATCTATTTAAATCGATAGTTTAAAAACAATTTTTGCCATAAACGTATACTTACTGTAACAATCGAAATTGCTTCTTATTAACTAGACGGTTGTCAGACATGTAATTATGTCGTTAAACAACAATTTAATACAAGAATAAATCTCTCAGCAACAGTTCTAGGAATATATAGTTTGCAAAGGAACATATAAATAATAAAAATACAGAAAAATACAAAAACAAAAAATATCTCTTCATATTGGAAAACAGAAATACAAATGGAAGTCTGTTTTATCCACTACTTCAAGCTCCGGCCTTAAGATGTTTTGTTGATGACAATTTTAACAGAAATAAAGAGGTTTTTATCTTTTTCTAGGAAACTACAAATAAAGTCCAATTTGAGATAAACAGTACCTCCTTTATAACCTCAATGCGCAGTTTACAAACAAACCGTTCAGAAATATAGTCGCAATAACAACTTAATGATAATTTCTTATTAAACGTTTTACATTAAATGTTATCATGATAATTCCTGTCACAAATCATCAAAGGTCGTAGGTTTATTGATATAACTATTTTATTGCCCACTAATAATGTTGATAATTTCAGATGTCGATATGTCGACAATTGCAGACGTTAGCGAACGAAATACCTCATGATATAATCTGTGGTGTGCCGTACGCGGCGTTGCCTTTCGCAGCTGTCATGTCAGTTAATACAAACACACCAATGATCATGAAAAGAAAGGAAACTAAATTGTATGCAACGAAAAAGATTTTAGAAGGAGTATTCGAGAAAGATCAGGTATGTTTGATCGTTGAGGACGTAGTGACATCTGGCGGCAGTTTGCTAGAAGCTGTTACAACTATTCGCGCCGAAGGCTTAAAAGTTTCACACGCTGTTGTAGTACTTGATAGGGAACAAGGTGGCGCTGGTGTGTTAAATGCAAATGGCGTCCAAGTAAAATCTGTCTACACGATGACTAATTTAGTAAAAATACTGAGGAACGCTGGACGAATAAGCGATGAAACAGCAGAAATAGTATCTGATCACATCAAAGAGTGCCAATTTGGTTATTCAGTTTAGATTCATGGTAAATGACGAACACTGTTTTAAAAGAAATTGCACGTTCACACTTGATACGTTAATCATTATTCAGATCTGAAATTAGCTCTCACTTATATTTGTTGGTATTGTACTTATTTAATTTTTATTAATTAATAAACTATCGAATATTTGTTGTTGTTTATTCACCTTTTTATACTATTATGTGTATTGCAATAAAAGTACAGAACAAATGTGTTTTATTAGAAATCGGTTTGTCTATGTGGCAAATCGAAAAATGCATGTCTTAACAGCTGCTTAAAGAAAGATGTGTACATTACTAAAATTATAATAAAAAAAATTAAAATGCAATTACACGTAAAGTGGGTCACTTTCTATGTAAATTATCTACAATACTTGGCTTATAACTAAGCACGACTAAGGGCAATAACCGCATCTCACTTCTAAACATATTTTATAGTTTTAATGCCGCTATAATAAACAGCAAGTTATAGGAACATTTGCGTAGGTGGTAAAAACAAGATGGCGGAGCCGGCTTAGAAATCTCGCGGTTTCTACATCCATGCCACAATAGATACACCAACAATACGTATGGCTCGCCATTTGTAGACAAAATATTATAATTAGAATCTAAAACCCTAAAACATTTTTTTTTTAAATTTTGGTTCTCTTTTATGAATAGCGTATTAAAAATCTCCATTGTTTATTGCGAGTTCAAGCATTTCCTGCTTCCACTTTCCTGTTTCTCTGCCCCATCTGTCGTTAACTCGACAGATGCGATTATCCCGTTACCACATCAATATATTAGGTCGAATATATTTTTTACATTATCAAAATTTTTTATTCCGTATTGTATTCCAAACCAATAAATACTAATTAAAGTTCCCGCGAAACAAATCTTTTTTATGTTGACAGATGCAAAAACATGTTTGTGAATAAACGTAATAAAAAGTTTAATAATGACAATTTACGTCTATGGTTCAGGCATCTGACTGGTTCTCTTTAGATTAGATTAAACGCAAATTACTTTCACACTTATCTTCTGTGAGGTATTTCTTTGGTACTGTTTGTTTAAAAATTCGCACGTTCCCGAGCAATTAGTTGAAGGTGTAATATAACTGTCCACGCATGAAACGGGATCTTAACGAGGCTTAATCAGCATAAATTAAAAAGGGCTCAAGTACCGTTACGTTTTACTTTCCGAATATATACGACTGTTTAACTTTCTAGCTAAAATCGACTGTCACTAGTTAAATCCTATGTAACAAAAAAGACCGGTTACAAAAAACAATTGGTTTTCAATCTTTTAAGGTCTTGTTTGTTCTTTAGCAAGAACATACTTCACAGTAACATGAGCTATATTAAATTTTAATTAGAAATGTACAATATTTGAATACTTATAAAATTGTATATTAAAGTTAACCTCTAATCTATCTATATCTATACTTATTATAAAGCGTAAACACAAACTTATTTGTTGCCTAAGATGTCGGCAATTACAACATATTTTTGCATATTTCTTTTTTTAATAAAAAGCCCTACACTTGCGTCATTCTATATTTTAACGTCATTAAACTTAGGGGGTAAATATTTTGGATAAAAACTCTAATGTGGGAAAGGGACCATAAGTTTCTGCCAACATCAAGGAAGCAAGGTTGTCATCATGTCATGTCATTTTGACATTTGTAACTGATAATTTGACAAATGTAAACAATAAAATAAAGTTTTTATAATTGCATGCGGGTGTAGCTGCACGGGAACAGCTAGTTTATCATGTTGTGGACGCATCGTCGCTGCGGTTGTGCACCGGAAATAGCTAAGCCTTCATTATCTGTGACGGTCACGAATATATTGAACTGGTTATATCTTAGTATAACAACGAGTTTTTGCAATATTATGAAGCATAAGATACTGATAAGCTATAATAAATTCATGTCTAGGACTCTCTTTACAAAGTTTTAAGCAACTTCTCTTAGGTAGCACATCACATTAAAGTTTTCTAAAAAGCTACTAAATTCAAACCATTTTAAAAGGTTTATGTGTTTGTGCCACGAACAAAATTTATTTACGTATTTAGAACTATATCATTACCGCTTCTTCTATGGTATTGAAGAGTATACACGGAAAACAGGAATCTTCAACAAAACGGAAAGTTCCCATCTTTTGAACCAATATGTGTTATTTCATTTAATAGCACAGCAATGGGCGAGTGAATAGAACATTGACCGGCGGACGTGATTCTGCGCGCGTGGTGCTGCCTATTGATTTTATTCGCAGTCTATAACTACCCACACATGAATCATAATTCAATGAAAATCGTAATGCGAATTGAGGCTCACACAGGATTCTAGCATTTATGGATGAAGTTAGAAGATTTTCAATCATATAAATATTATAAATGCGAAAATTACGATGGATGGATGGATGTTTGTTAGCATTTGTAGTATAAACGGCTAAACGGATCTCCAAGAAATTTGGCACAGGTTTAGAGTATAGTGGAAAAACATATAGGCTACGTTTTATCCCGGGAATAGTTACGGTTCCCGTAGGATACTAATTTAGTTTTTTAATGTTTACTCGACCATTCTGCAACGGTGCAACATATCTTATTGAAATTTAGCACAGATATAAAACAAAGTCAGGAGTACCCATGTGATTAGGGCTCATCCCCAAGAAATGTCCGCTTCCCGAGGGATATTTAGCTCTTTGCTATTTCTATAGTTCTTATGTTTTCTAATACCACGCGGACGAAGTCGCGGGCAACAGCTATTTAGTATAATTATAAAAAGAAACTCCGATCTAGAATTTAATTGTTTGACTCGTACTAAATTAAAAATATCTACATTGGATCTTTTACCAAAAAGAGTATATTTTAGTGATAATTCAATATAAGATCAGTAAAAATCTACCACAAATAACTTGTAAAGTCTAGCAAGTAGGTATTTCCTGTCTAGTTTTAGTAAATAAGCGAACGGTATTGAAAGTATGTTATCGAAATAAAAGACGTTATAAAATCATTAAATTTTATTATTCACCAGCTGGAATATAATAATTAAAAAGTTTGATCGACTTCGAAAAATTGTACGACATGATTGTCAGTCTCAGACGTGCGAGAGCGGACATTAAAAAAAACACACTGGTTACAAAGATTAATAATAACTTAGGTATTAAAAAAATCAAGTTCAGCCTTATATCAAAACAAAAGATCTTTTTCCTTTTGTGTCATCAGTGAGTCCACAGCAGGGGTGTGGCGAAGGGGCCACGTCGTGGGGGAGCTGTTTAAGTCAATAAACAACCGAGCGAGCGCCCTTCGGTCAGGAAACACTGGGAATGTATCACTACGCGACGCCGGCACGCTCTCCGCCACG